CTAGTCCAGTTGTCGTTGTTTTTTTTTGTCGTTGCGCCATTGTGCTGTGTCGCACACCGTTATTGTGTCGTCGTACTAACCCCGCACTTCTTACTGGGCTAGTCAAACTTATAGTTCTTTGGTCACGCGGGCCGTTGCAAGCATCCCTTGGATCGTGCTTTGGTAGTTGCCTCTTCTTGATTCCCAGTCTATATGGTCTACTTGGTATGGCCTTGAACACAAGATGGGACTCTTGACTTGTGCTCTTTGTCGCCATGCAGGATAGGAATTCTGGCGTGTGTGTGTGTGTGTGTGTGTGTGTGTGTGTGTGTGTGTGTGTGTGTGTCCCATATGGTGCAGAGGTATGTGCAGCGATTTCCAATCGATAGGTTGCGGGTTCGATTCCCGACGACTATGGTCACACACGTCTTTCTTCTCTTTCTCAGACTCTTCCTGACTTTTCTTTCATTCTCCTGGGTGGTTACCAACAGCCAGTGCATGCCGGAGTATGTGGTGTGATGTGTGTGAGGGAAAAAAAATAAAAAGACCAAAAAGTAGGGATTCACTGGCCAGAAAAAAGCCACTTCAAAGCTGTGTGGTGTAGACCAGGCTGAATAGTGGTGGTCAATTCTTCAGCCTTGCAAGCTGTTGAATGGTGCAATCCCAGCACAAGTTGCTATGGCTTCTGCTGTAGCATCGCTATCATCGCCTCTGGCGATGGGCGTCCAATGGTCCAATGGTGTGTGTGTGTGTGTGTGTGTGTGTGTGTGTGTGTGTGTGTGCGCGCGCGCTCGTGCGTATGTGCGTGCACGTTCGTGTGTGTGTGTGTTTGTGTGTGTGTGTATGTGGTCTCCGTATCCATAGTATACTGAGTAATCCATGCTATCCTCGGCGGGTTCAGCGCAGCATCCTTCATAGATCAGAGTGGGAATCAGGGAGTGCTAGCCTACAATGTTGTACGCTACATAGACGAGGTGATGGGAAGTGAAGGGAGGCCAGGGGGGGGGGGGGGGAGCTGGGATGATGGAATGCAAGTTGTCATGTGAGGAAAATGCACGGAGTAGCAAAAACGACAGTACTGCACTGTACTATTGCTTTTACGATTACATGGCTATTTTGGTTGCCATGGCTACCACCCACCTTAGCCGCGTCCAGCTTGCGACGGCGCATGACTGTGCCACCCTTGCCCCGCTGCGGCACGGCATTGCGGACAAATATCACCCCCTCTCCCCCCGTGCTGGGTCTAGCTCACGCCGCCACGCAACTGGGTGGACTAGGCGTCCTTGCACGGTGGCGACGACAACGGCGGTGCAAGCTGTGCGTCATTCCCGCCGCCATCATGGCATGGTGGTACGTGGTGGTGGCTAGTCTCAGGTCAAGTGCCTGTTTGGCAGCCCAGCCAGGGAGTTTTTATTTTTTATATTTTTTATACTTAGTATATGCACTGCACATCCCTACATTATAGGGGTAATAAAAGAGACAACGACGAAATACAAAGACAACAAACAAAGGAGTCGTTGGTGCTACAAGAGCTGTGCTGGTCAGGCGCAGTGCACTCCTCCGACCATTTCGGTCTCGGAATCGACATGGACTGTCTGTGCGGGCCGAGTTACCGTTGGTACCAAGGTGACGCAGTTGCTATGGCCAGTCTATCAGTCTATGGGGCATGGTTACCGGTAGCCTGTGGCTCGTTGTGAACACTCACTGTGACTCAGCCGCATGTTTGCCTTGGCTTGGGTAGCAGAAGTGAGACAGGTGCGCTTTGGGTGTTGGCGCGCGGAGGGGGGGAGGGGGGCTCATTTTCAACAATGCCAGTGCAGTGCATGTAGATCTACTAGCACTGCACTGGCTAGCAACAGTCAGCACCTTTGGCGTTGGCTCTGTGTGACTGGTGACGCCCGGCAATCATGTGCCGATGATGATTGTGGTGACCTGGTGACGTATGCTACTTGCCAGGGAGTAGTAAAAATTAATTTGTTTACCTCAATGTTAATGTATCTCAGTGTATAATATCATAACTGCAATGAAAGACTTTTTTCTGCAACAAACCACGATCGGGGCAAGGATTTGTCACGTTTGCGCTAAGCTGCGATCCTATTGTGCTTTGTTGTATTAAATGTGCTCCAAAAACAAAAACAAAAAAACGCCGAAAAAGTGGGGCGGCCCCAGCCGCCTCCGGCTGTGACGGCCTTGGCTTCTTTTAGGCCCGGGTAGCTTCGTCTTTGACCAGGTTTGGGCCTCAGTTTCGCTTCATGCTTTTGTTTGTTCCGTGTGACTAAACACAACATTGCAACGTGGGTGCCCTTAGGCCTTCATCCACTTTACGTGGATCACCCACGTACGCGTTTCCATTACGTGGGAACTAAACCTCCCTAGTGGCTGCTTTTATACGCGGCATTACGGCATGTGTCATCCCATGTAAATACGAGTCTGGTTAGTCATATTTAAAGTCACGTTAATGGGCCATTCACACTACGCCCAAAACGTGGCGTACGTGACGTTTTCATCCGGATAGCCATGACAACATGGAACGTGGCGGGAAAAATCGTACCCCTGATACGAAAACGTAGACGTCGTACCGAGTTTCGTTCTGTCGTTCCCAGCAGTTTGTGTCCAAGAGAAGCTGTACACACTCAGTCACTGCTGTACGAGCAGCGTGTGCGTGCCCGTGTGAATGCACCTGAATGAAAACGACGTCTGCCAGTACGTTGTATTCCAAAACGTGACGCGTATTGTAACGTAGTATGAATAGTCTATAAGACGTAAGAAATCTCAAGTCCCGAACAAAACGTGTTCACTTCCACACAAATTTTGTCGGTTAGTACATAATTCGTTAGTACATAAACCCCGTTAGCACATAACATTTCCTCCGTACCCGCATGCCACCTACCTCAATAGTACATAATTTGTTGGTCTTTTGGCCTTCCAGCGGAGGCGCATCGTGTTCCAGTTTCTTCTTGGGGACGCTCAGAAATCAGAGCGCACGTCACAAACTGACAACGCTCTGTTTTTTCCCCGAATGCATGCACAGGCGCGGCTGGGCATGCATTATGTAAACTGTAGAATCTTCGCCAACTGTGACCGTTGTTACACATTTTTTATTTGTATAATAATTGTAATAGTTACGGTATATCGAGGGAATAAAACCAGTTGTGCACTCACGATAATCATGTTAAACGTTAAACGCAATGCACCTACAAATATAACGCTTGCGAAGCGAGCATTATAGCCTACGCTTGAGGAAGCGAAAGCGGAAGTACAAGGCAAGGTGAGGATGAAGAAATCGAGAACGCAAAGAAACGCAAGACACCATGTCACAACAATAAATAAATAGTGCATGCACTCGTAACTCACACACGGCTTGCATGCACGAACAATCACTAAATGTTCTTGTGAGCAAAACAGTATTGCAAGAAGTGCAAGCTAGGCCTAGGCTGGTCATGCGATACCTGTTAAGCTTCAAAGTTAGCGCCAGGGATCCGGTTCACCCGAAAATGATGTGACTCGCTTCACATGAGCGACATCTTCGAGCCAGGAATCCTTTCTTGCTGCGACTGGCGCGGGTTGGTTCGGTTCGGAAGGGTCATCGTCGCGCCAGGGATCCGGTCGTTCTGAGAGCGACGTAGGAGGTTGCTCGAGAATGCCATCGGCAGTGTATGATAACGTGGTGTCGTCCATGGGGCTATTTTCCCCTCCCTTTGCCATATTCCACAGCTTGCCCATATTCCAGGCGATCATAACACACCCAGCACCGATGAGACAAGCCGTAACGACGCCAATGGCAATCAGCGAACCGCTTTTCTTTTTGCCACCAGCATTTTTGTTTGCCTCCCTGAAGTTGCTGCTGTCACTGCTGCTCCTGTTGCTGCTGCTGTTGTTGCTGCTGCTGTTGTTGCTGCTGCTGCTGCTGCTGCTGCTGGTGGTGGTGGCGGTGGTGGTGGTGGTGGTGGTGGTGGTGCTTCTGCTGCTGCTGCTGTCGTCCTTGAGTACATATATTACGTCCTCACTAATGGCAACAGACACACTGCTAATCGAAACAGTACTGGTCTTGCTCCAGCTTGGCTCACGTGCGTACGTTGCGATGCACAGATAATCTCCGCTGCCGTCTTCTTCAGTGACAGGCGGTAGCTCGAGCGTGATTGTCCAGTTGTGCAGCAGCGAGGCAGTATGCGGTGCCAGTTCCTTAGTTGATGTCGGTACGATCGTTTGACCTGGGTCATCGTCACGAAGACGGTGGCTCCAAGTGAGCGAGGTGAGAGCTGGGAAACTGGTCACAGAACAAGCCAGGGTAATATTGGAATCAGACCTGGCCGTGAGGTTCGTCGGCGAGAGGTGAAGCACCGGAGGCACTGCGAGAGATGAAACCGAATGGAAACACAGACAGGCATTCACGCATGCACATACGCATGCATTTGCACGTTCACACGTTCACACACGTACACACACGTACACATACACACACGTACACACACACGTACACATACACGTATACAGTACAGTCAAACCTCGTTAGAACGAACACTGATAAGGCGAACTTTCCTTCAGTACGAACTAGGGCCAACCCTATAGTTGGTCGGCATCATAGTAAGACGAACTCTGTACGGCGAACTTTCTTGAAGACGCACAAATTTCAAGGGCGATTTGAACAAAATCAGCGTGTAGTACGAACTTTCGGTCCCCATGGTTACACTGGCTGTAGTTTTTCCCGATAGTCGAGGCCTCTTGTACTGGAAAAAACATGTTACAAAGCGGATGTAATGCTGTCATGAAGTCCTTACACATTGTACTTACCTGTTGCTGGGTTATGTTATGAAAAATATGTTTTGCATTTGCCACAGCATGCACTTTCACATAAATACAATCCAGATGATATGCATACCAATTTTTTTTGTCAGATCTGGTTAAGAAGAACTCCGGATACGACAAACAAACTTGTTCGGTCCCTTGAAGTTCGTCCTAACGAGGTTTGCCTGTAGCGTACTCTGGGTCATATTATCAAGAGTGCATGAAGCCAAGAGTGTACGGAGGGACACTGTTGCGGTGATACAAGGCTGTAGAGTCACTGAAGCAGGCATGGTCAATGCGCCTTGTCGCCGGGGACCATTGCCGAAGTGCAATGTCGCCCTAAAAAAAATTCGACAGGTTCGCGTACCGGGCAGGTCAAGAACAAGGAGTCGTACAACTCCGTGGTCAAGAACCACTTTTCCATGTCGCCCAAACCCCAGCTAAATCCTACAAAACAGAAAATACTTTAAATACTAGACAGTGCATGCTATGTGCCGAGTGCATGCTATGTGCCGAGTGCATGCTATGTGCCGAGTGCATGCTATGTGCCGAGTGCATGCTATGTGCCGAGTGCATGCTATGTGCCGAGTGCATGCTATGTGCCGAGTGCATGCTATGTGCCGAGTGCATGCTATGTGCCGAGTGCATGCTATGTGCCGAGTGCATGCTATGTGCCGAGTGCATGCTATGTGCCGAGTGCATGCTATGTGCCGAGTGCATGCTATGTGCCGAGTGCATGCTATGTGCCGAGTGCATGCTATGTGCCGAGTGCATGCTATGTGCCGAGTGCATGCTATGTGCCGAGTGCATGCTATGTGCCGAGTGCATGCTATGTGCCGGAGGCCAAAGAGATTCCATTGCTGCCACATTTCTTGTGTTTGTACGACAAAGGCCGGAAGCTCTGGCAACATACGTAGTGAATAGGTTTGATGTTGACTTACCGTTGACTACGATTGGCTGGGTTGTGTTGAATAAGAGTGGAGCACTCTGCTGTCGTGCTGGTGTACGATACCTAGCCATGCAGACATATCTGTCACGCTCGCCGATCGTCACATTGCGCAATGTCAGCGATGCTGATCGCTGCATAAGCTCTCCAGCTAAAGTGGTGACAGGAGCGGTCACTACTGAAGTGACTTCCGCTGCATCAGTAGAATTCCAGGGTGCTAGTCGTAGTCCTGTATCCCGTTCAATCCAGTAGAGATCGTCAACAGCTGGAATACTACTAACACTGCATTGCACGGTGACATCTTTACCTTCATCTACATAACCGATTGGTCTCTCAAATTCTGGTAGAGCTGTGGCGGGATAAAGTGAAACAATGCGGAAGAGAGAGAGAGAGAGAGAGAGAGAGAGAGAGAGAAAGAGAGAGAGAGAGAGAGAGTACTTGTACTTGCTCACTGCTATGACTGGTCATGCAAGTCTCCTCGGGAGGAGGGGTAGGGGGGGGGGAGGAGGGAGTAGAGACTCAAAAAGAATCTTGGAAAGATGACTCAAGTGGCTATTGAACCGCCCAACGGTCGACACCCCCTGAAATCCCAGACTTTTAGTGGACTAGGAAATGATCCCACTTATGGGCTCACCCCACCACAGTAAGTAGGTGAGGACAAGGTGCAGAAAACAGGATTGAGGGCATCATGGTACACACACACACACACACACACACACACACACACACACACACACACACACACACACACACACACACACACACACACACACACACACACACACACACACACCCAGACACACACACAGCAGCAACAACTTGGAGGAGATTGAATAGCCAAGCAGTTGAAATCACTATACTTACCATGAACCTCCAGAGAAAATGTTACATTCACTGATCCTAGAGTATTGTGCAGAGTGATGATGTACTCCCCACTGTCCTTTATGCTCAGAAAAGTAATACTCAACGAGAAATTACCACGGGTCGCGTTTATTAATAGAGCAATATTTGGTCCATTGACTAACGATCCGTTACGTGTCCACGAGACGTACGGCAATGGGTTGGTGGTGATTTTCCGAGTGACATAAAATGTAATGTTTTCGCCCGCTAGTTTGGTACTGTTCAGGGTTGAGAATGTGTCCACAGTCGGAGGAGCTGGAATGAAAAATAGAGCAGAGAGAATTTACAAGCGTGCTGTAGCCGCAGCGTTGACATCATTGAAGATTACACAAGAGAGATTGGAAGCTGTGTCGCAACTCTGAGTTTCACGCATTACTACGATCATCAGGCAACTGATGGCTCCAAAACGGGCAGCCTGAACATACAAGGGGGAGCAAGGTGGGAAATTCTGAGGGGTATCATAGCGCAAGAGTCAGGTGCAGGCATTGAAGACTACAGACAATTCAGTAAGGTGTATTTTTAAAGGTTTGAACTCAAGTCAAGGGGGGGGGGGTGAGCTCCAGTGCGAGGAGCAACCAACTTCCTTACATATACCCCATGGTACGGTACGGAGGGCCCGTTTTCAACCAATCAGCGCTCGCCCGTCTAGCCATGGTTGTATAAGCCGATATAAATCCCGTCCTGGATTTATGAATCACTGTGGTGTCTTGTATTAAAGCCTGTCTTGTATAGAAACCTGCTTTGAATACAAGCCTGATTCTCAACATGCACTGGCAGTACATAAGCCTGGTTTTAGTGTTGACATACATAGAAATACCTGGTTTGAATAGAAGCCTGGTTTGAATAGAAGCCTGTTGTGAATAGAAGCCTGTTGTGAATAGAAGCACTAGCAGCACAGCCTGGTTCTTAGTGTTGATATACATAGAAATACAAAAACTGGTTTCGAATAGAAGCCTGACTTGAATAGAAGCCTGACTTGAGTAGAAGCCTAGCACTGATATCGGCTTGCATGGCCGCAAGCACCTGATTTTATACGCGACATTACGGTATGTTGAATGTGCCGAAGTTACCCTGTCATCTGGTGAGAAGAGGTGTGCAATCGTCGAAAAAGAGCGCTTCGCAAAAGGTTCCGAGGAAGAACTAGACCAACTTCCATGTCGATTCCGAGACCGGAATGGTCGGAGGAGCGCACTGCGCCTGACCAGCACAGCTCTTGCAGCACCTACTACTCCTTTGTTGTTTTTGTATTTTGTCTTTGTCTCTTTTATTACCCCATATTACTGTGTAGGGATATGCACATACTAGTAGTATAATGAAAAATAGAAAAACTTCGAGAATCTCGGTAAGTGTAAATTTCTACACCATTATGCTTCGGAGGAAGAACTTTATGAACTTCTTATTTCAATTTGATCCATACTGACTTCGGACCTCAGTCTTTGGGACTATCTGGACAAATTTGGTGGGTGCATGCCATGTTCTGTTCTTACTTGTACCTAAATATGCATACCATAGTATGGGTGCACTTCGTGCTGTTCTGTTATACCCACTCCATATTTGGATCTCTGCCCCTGCATGCAATAGTTAATACACATTTCATAACCCCCATAATTGGACCATTTCCCCCTACCCCTGCATGCAATAGTGATACACATTTCATAACCCCATGTAGCACCGTACACACAGCATAACCTCCATATTTGACCCATTTCCCCGCTGCCCCTGCGCCTGCATGCAAATACAGATTGGAGGAGCCTCGGCGAACTCCAATCAGAGTTCTTCGAGTCTCCTCGTAGCATTCATGATCACTGTGCGGACCCAAGGTAACTACTGAAGGAATATCTCACTTTAGAACGTAGATCACTGTGCGTGCTCTAAGCATGCACAGTGATCATGAATGCGGGGGAGTAGGAGACGAAGTAGAATAATTAGTACCATGCACATTTTGTAGCCCGTTTTCCCTCCTTCTGCCCCTGCACATAAAACCACCGTACATTTGATCTAATTACATCCCTTTCTAGTGTACATAGTCGGGCTATACACATAATATGCGCGCCAACTACTATAAAAGCCATATATAACGAAGTGCTAACTCTAACGAGTTAACGAGGAGAAATCGGTCGTTAAAATAGAAATCGTTATACAGAAATCGATACATACACTGTCCTCAGTATTGAGCTTTGGGAATGAGTGAGAATCGTTACCTTTGGTACACGTAAACTAGTCAATTTTGGGAAATCGTTATTATATGCACCTCGTTAGAATAATGGCTTTTACAGTAATTGGGCGCGCTTGTGCATTGCACCGTACACAAATTTTATTATAGTAATTCCTTGCATCACAAGACTTCGCTGAGGCTTATCGAGAGTAGTCGAATCCTTGGTCTAGTTATCGTAAGTTCTTATCTTACCTCGTCTTGTCTACTTGTAATTGTCCCATATCAATAATAAGACACTCCGTCCTACAACTACTTGGTGCCTTTGCATCAGTCTGAGGGGCTATAATCATAACAATAAGAGGAGGAATTGTCAACATTGGCAGTAGTCGAATCCTTGCCCTAATGCTAGTAGTCGAATCCTTGCCCTAATGCTAGTAGTCGAATCCTTGTCCTAATGCTAGTAGTCGAATCCTTGTCCTAATGCTGGTCTCTCAATAATCTGTCCTCGTCTCGTGAAATATACTATCCGACTCCCCACTAACTGGTATCTCTGGACGTGTGTGAACCATAAACCTTTGATAACATTGGCGCCCAACGTGGGGCTCGAACCCACGACCCTGAGATTAAGAGTCTCATGCTCTACCGACTGAGCTAGCCGGGTGGGTGAAACTCCTGCTGAGGACCACTGGAAAGCGTTACTTCGTCGTAGAGCGAACCTCCGTAGACGCCACACGCGGATAAGTAACCGCCCGTCCCCTCCGTCATTTTAAGTATTAATCTCCAGCTGAGTGTTCGTCCTCGCTGTCGTAGTACCCTCTGTCACTCCGTTTAGTATACATCTCCTGCCGAGTGTTCGTCCTCGCTGTCGAGTTTGACCTGTGCGCGTTGGTGTGTCTGCTGTGGTGTCCGGTGTTGCGTTGTTCTCTGTTGGTTTCGGTTTTGCGTGGTGCACAGGACCATCACCCTACAACTCCAACAACCCCCTCCACCACCGCCTCAACCGCACCGGAAACAACACAGTCAACACCTCCAACACCACCTTCAACAACAACTGCAACCACAACACCCTCCCCAGCACGCAACCCAACCACGCCCGTTGATGCCGCCTGAAGATGCTCGGCGCACAATAGAACGGCGTCGCAACATCCGCCAAGCTGATGCCGCCTGAAGATGCTCGGCGTACGATTGAACGGCGCCGCAATATCTGCCAAGCCCGCCGTCGGCGAACTCCCACC